TTTCCTCTGCACACTCAGATGCAGGACATAAAAACACTCTTGCTATTTATTTTCATTTTGCAGCACATTTATACTACCAGAATTTTTCTTTACATCTTTATATTATTTATTTTTCTCAAGTAATTTACTTTTGGTGAGATAACTAAAGTTTAGTTCATTTTACCCTGTCTATGGACTGATTCATTATTAGTTGTTACAAAACATACACAAGACGGCGGGAAGACAAACAAATATAGACCCTCCATACAAACAATCAGACAAACAAACATGAACTCGTAATAAACACCAGCGTGACAGCAAAGCTCATCCAGCTCAATTTAGTCAGAATTAAGAGGTTTCAGAGGGGGTGGGGAATTATCTCCAGTGGGGCACCTTGACTTGCGCGTCCACTTTTGTATACAAGTCCTAGATCGGTGCCTGAAAGCCGTCCAAGAGCAATAACTAGCTTATCCTCTCGCGACACCACTACTCTTTTCTAGTGGCGCTGTGCCCCCCCGATCAGGAGCTCACAGACTTTTCCCTCTACCCTTTCTCTCCAACAACAGCCCAGTTGACTGTAGTCCGACACGACCAGCCTATACACTTGCTATCGAGTTCATCACAACGATGTTTTGTTCTACACTTGCTTGCCACTACCCACCCGTGATCAATTAGCCTATAATTGTATGTATGCACCCCGGACCGCCACCAGCTCCTCAATGTGTATTTTTAACTGTATTTTAAAAGTTGTTTGTGGCACATCGGGTGATGCACGCACCTCGCGCTGGCTTGTCTTACCATGAGAAAGCGGTCACAAACAACGAGTGCTTTTAGACCATCTCGTTTTTAATAGAGACGGCGGTGGTGTGAGTTAAAGCTATAGACAAAAGGCTGTGACTTTCTCCCTCTCAGTTGCACTTCTCTAGCCCCACAAACACGGGGAGGTTTTACACACACACCCGCGGCTGCAGCTGGAGCCGTGTTTTACAGAGGCGATAGCAGTAATATCTCCGGCTGCTTATTTTCAACTGCTGTGTTGGCTGCTGAAACCCCCAGAATTCTGCGATTTGTCCAATACAAATCTTTTACATTGCTTTCACACAGAAGCTCCACTTCACTGATGCCTTTCTTTAAGGTCTCTCTAAACATGAGCTGTGTATGCTTGTATGGCACTTCCATTACATTACATTACATTGCATTTAGCTGACGCTTTTATCCAAAACGACTTACAATAAGTGTGTTCGACCAACAAAATACAAACTTGAAGAAAACAGAATCATATAAGTACATCAGGTTTCATAGAGCAAAAACATTTCAAATTCTACTCAACTGGCTTTAGGTAAGCCAGTCCTTTATTAGTATATAAGTGCTTTGTTAATAGTTATATCGCTCGAAGTGGAGTCGAAAGAGATGAGTTTTCAGTCTGCGCCGGAAGGTGTTTAAGCTTTCTGCTGTCCTGATTTCAATGGGGAGCTCATTCCACCATTTTGGAGCCAGGATAGCAAACCCACGTGTTTTTGCTTATGGGAACTTGGGTCCCCTTCGCAGCGAGGGTGCAGCGAGCCGTTTGGTTGATGCAGAGTGGAGTGCACGTGCTGGGGTGTACGGTTTAACCATGTCCTGGATGTAGGAAGGGCCAGATCCATTCGCAGCATGGTACGAATCTTGAAGTGGATTCTAGCAGTTACCGGAAGCCAGTGGAGGGAGCGGAATAGCGGCGTGGTGTGGGAGAATTTAGGATGGTTGAAGAGCAGACGAGCCGCTGCATTCTGGATGAGCTGCAAAGGTCGGATGGCACATGCAGGTAGACCAGCCAGGAGGGAGTTGCAGTAGTCTAGGCGTGAGATGACGAGAGCCTGGACCAGAACCTGCGTCGCTTTCTGGGTCAGCTGGGGACGTATCTTCCTGATGTTGTAAAGCGTGTATCTGCAGCAGCGGGTTGTAGCAGCTATGTTTGCAGTGAAGGACAGGTTGTTATCTAGGATCACACCCAGATTCCTTGCAGTCTGAGTCGGGGAAACCATAGAGGTGCCGATGTTGATTGTTAGGTCAAGAGTGGGACAATATTTTCCTGGAAGGAAAAGCAGTTCAGTCTTGTCAAGGTTGAGCTTGAGGTGATGAGCAGACATCCACTGAGAGATGTCAGCTAGACAAGCAGAGATGCGTGCGACGACCTGGGTCTCTGAGCGGGGAAAGGACATAATCAATTGGGTGTCGTCATCGTAGCAGTGGTATGAAAAACCATGCGGGCTAATGACAGATCCGAGCGAGTTTGTGTACAAGGAGAAGAGGAGGGGACCAAGAACAGAGCCCTGAGGGACCCCTGTAGTTAATTGACAAGGGTCGGGATCCGACCCTCTCCAAGTAACCCTGTAGGTGCGGTCTTTGAGGTATGAGGTGATGAGGGAAAGTGCAGAGCCTGAAACTCCAAGTTCTTGGAGAGTGCGAAGGAGGATTTGATTATTCACCTTGTTGAATGCAGCAGACAGGTCCAAAAGCATGATGACAGAGGATGGCCTTGGCCATTCATGGCCATTCATGGCCTTGGCTGCTTTAGCAGTGTGCAGTTCCTCAGTGACAGCAAGGAGGGCAGTTTCTGTGGAGTGACCTGCCTTGAAACCAGACTGGTGCGGATCCAGAAGGTTGTTCTGATGGAGATAAGGAGAGTTGTTTAAAGACAGCGCGTTCAAGTGTTTTAGACAGGAACGGGAGGAGAGAGACAGGCCTGTAGTTTATAACATCAGACGGGTTGAGAGTGGGTTTCTTTAGGAGAGGGTTTACTCTTGCCTCCTTGAGACTGTTTGGAAAGTGACCAGAAGTTAGAGAAGTGTTGATGAAATGGGAGAGAAACAGTAGAATATCAGGAGCGACAGTCTGAAGGAGGTTTGAAGGGATAGGGTCCAGAGGAAAGGTGGTAGGGCGGGCAGAGGTAATGAGGGTAAGAACCTCACTTGGAGAGAGAGGGGAAAAGGAGGTTAGTGTGTTGGTGGAAGGAGGGTCTGGTGACCCAGCGGTGAGTAAAGGTGAGTCAGAAAAAGAAGAGCGAATATCATCAACCTTTTTTTCAAAGTGGTTAACAAAGTCGCTTGACAGAAGTGAGGAGGGGGGAGGGGCTTTGGGGGGGTCCAGGAGGGAGGAGAAGATGGATAATAGTTTTTTGGGATTGGAATAGGAAGTTTGGATCTTATCTTGAAATAAAGTGCTTTTTGCCTGAGAGATCAAAGCAGAGAAAGAGGAGAGTAGAGCCTGATAGGTTAGGAGGTCGTCTTGGTTTTTGGATTTCCACCGTTTCCGCTCTGCTGCCCTACGGACGGTTCTATTAGTACGCAGTGCGTCATTTAGCCAGGGAGCAGGAGGGGAATGACGAGCCTGCCGAGATGTGAGAGGACAGAGAGAGTCCAGAGAGGATGAGAGAGTAGAGAGGAGAGTTTCTGCAGCAGAGTTTGGAGGCAGGATTTGGAACGAGTCAGAGGAAGGGAGGGCTGAGAGCACCGATGAGGCAAAGGTAGAGGGGGAGAGGGAACGAAGGTTACGGCGGACAGGTGCAGGATGAGAAGAGACTAGTCTGTTATGTTTGGAAAGGGGTAGAGAGAATGAAATGAAGAAGTGATCGGATGTGTGGAGCGGGTTTACAGAGAGGTTAGAAGTAGTGCAGTTCCTTGAGAATATGAGATCAAGGACATTGCCAGCTTTATGAGTTGGTGGGGATGGAGACAGTGAGAAAGCAAAGGCGGTTAACAGAGATGTTAGTTTGTCTATCTTCCCTGTCTGGAGGTTGAAGTCTCCGAGAAGTACAGCGGGATGGCCAGTTTCAGGGATGTGTGAGAGGAGATTATCTAATTCCTCCAAGAAGTCCCCCAAGGCGCCTGGTGGACGGTAGAGAACAACAATGGTTAATTGTATAACAACAATGGTTAATCCGTCCCGAGCATCACACACAGAGGAAATCAGCCAGGACTGAGTCCCCAGACACTGATCCCCTGGGTTTATTATCCCCAAATGTTCATTAACCAAAAACGAAACACAGCCGCTCAGTTTCACAGGTAATTTCAGGATACCGTCAATCACAGATTCTGGCAAGGCAATGTCCAAATGTAGATTTGAAATTACACTTACCAGTTCTGAAGATTTTTTGGTATCCTGCCTACGACGCCAATTTGTAAGGGAAACTTCTGTGTAGCAATGCAGTGGGAGTCACCGACTCAGGAAAGAGACACGTGAAGAGCAGGAGCTTTGATGTCAAACACTGATGGTTTATTTGGAGCTTCGGCCGGAGAATTCACATCACAAGTCACAGCAGCCACGATCTGACTGCACTGGAGAGTTGCCACGTCAATTCTGAAGAACTCTACCCCAGACCCATGTATTTAGCTAGTTCCGAGAGCATCATCAACATGCTGCATAACAACATAAAATCATAACACCTCTATCAGCTGACGTCAACAGGCAGGAACATAGAATCATAACACCTCTATCAGCTGACGCCAACAGGCAGGAACAGGGAGACAGAACACTGAGAGCACAGCAGCCAAGGTTACGAGGTGCGTGTGCTCAGTCAGGACAGTTTGAACTGATAAACTGGGTCAAAGTTATGGGCCTTGGAAAATATTCCCCAACACCGTCAAATGTTCTGTTAATATTTGCATACTTTTACTTAAATAAGGTTTGAATGCAGGATTTTAATTTGTAACAGAGTATTTTCATTCTATACTGTAGGCGTAGTGTATCTGTGAACGATCCCAAATACAATTCCTTGTTTACATTGCGGCTAGTGCTACGCCAGAAGAAAAAACCCTTTAACATTTTTAACTGGAAGTGGAAAGGGGCTGGGCTACATGAGGTGACTTGAGCCAACAGAAATACACAATAGGTGGGACTAAGAAAGATAATGTGAACATATAAAAACAAAGGCATTAATTAGGGCTGCAAAATGTCTCCCATTGTAATGGCGATGAGATTTTTAAATGCTAACACTTAACCGTTTCTTCTGATTGTGTTTCCTGTTTCCTGCAGACGTCCAGCAGCTGGTGGTGGTTAAAGAAGAGCTTCTCCCTGACCAGCAGGAGAGGAGCACCAGTCTGGACCAGGAGGACCCAGAGCCCACCCCACACATTAAGCAGGAACAGGAGGGAGAGCAGCTTCAGGAGCTGGAGGAGGCTGATATCACCAAGTCCACTTTCACTCCTGACCCTGTGAAGAGTGAAGATGATGAAGAGAAACCTCAGTCCTCTCAGCCTCATCAAAGACAAACTGAACACATGGAAACAGAAGCTGATGGAGAAGACTGTCGAGGACCAGAACCAGCCAGGAACTCAGATCCAGAGAGCAGTTTGCATCCAAAGACTGAGGACCACACTGGAGACTCTTCTGAACCTGACACCGAAGACAGTGCTGATTGGAAAGAGACCAGAGAACCTGCCTCAGGCTCAAACTCACTGAAAAATAGACATGAATCTGTCAGTGACCCACAATGTAGTGCTGAAAAGAAACCATTCAGCTGCTCAGTCTGTAAGAAAGCTTTTCCACAGAGTGGATATTTAAAGATACACATGAGAGTCCACACAGGAGAGAAACCATTCAGCTGTACAGTCTGTAAGAAAGCTTTTTCACATAGTGGAAGTTTAAAGATACACATGAGAGTCCACACAGGAGAGAAACCATTCACCTGCTCAGTCTGTAAGAAAGCTTTTTCACAGAGTGGAAATTTAAAGGAACACATGATAATCCACACAGGAGAGATACCACACAGCTGCTCAGTCTGTAAGAAAGCTTTTTCACTGAGTGGACATTTAAAGAGACACATGAGAGTCCACACAGGAGAGAATCCATTCAGCTGTACAGTCTGTAAGAAAGCTTTTTCACATAGCGTATATTTAAAGATACACATGAGAGTCCACACAGGAGATAAACCATTCACCTGTACAGTCTGTGAGAAAGCTTTTCCACAGAGTGGATATTTAAAGATACACATGAGAGTCCACACAGGAGATAAACCATTCACATGTACAGTCTGTAAGAAAGCTTTTTCACATAGTGGACATTTAAAGACACACATGAGAATCCACACAGGAGAGAAACCATTCACCTGTACAATCTGTGAGAAAGCTTTTCCACAGAGTGGATATTTAAAGACACACATGAGAGTCCACACAGGAGAGAAACCATTCACCTGTACAATCTGTGAGAAAGCTTTTTCACGGAGTGGACATTTAAAGTCACACATGAGAGTCCACACAGGAGAGGAAAAATAGATCTGCAAAGTTTGTCACAAAATATTTAAATGAGGTAATCGTTTAAAAATACCAAGTGTGTTGGTAAGGGAATACATTTGTCTATTTTGTATCCTGATGCCGTTACATGTAATACGTTACTCCCTAAGCCTGTTTTCACCCACCTGCAACCGATTCGCTACTAATCACAAATAATCATTTCTTCGACCCCTTGACTCGACTATTTCTTGTTTAACTCTCCTTTTATATTCGTTTTTTGTAACAGCAATGATATTCGTGGGTCAATTTGAACCAGTGCATGTTTAATTATCCAAAAATGGTTTACATAGTTTGTACCTTTTATTACTATCAATGAAATCAATATTTAGTACAATTGTGTTATTCACCCCTCACAGATCATGATTCCATTAGAATAAGTCACTCGTTTTTCTCAAAACATATACATTCAAATACATTTTTCTATTTCCTTTTTTAAATTGGAAAAACCTTGATACAAAATACATTAGTTTTGCATAACATAACATGTTTTAAATACATTTTAAAATATTCCAACTTGTTTTACAATTGGTTGATGTTAATAAATAGAGACGAGACACCTCTTCTGTTCAGGGTCAACTTGACCCGGTCACTTAGAATCAAGCCAAATGAGTCATAAGTATTTTATTGTAACAGCAATTAAGAGTATGTGTGTGTAGGGTTGTGGTGTCTGTGAACATAAACTTGGAAGATTGAGGGACCCTGTTCTTTATCACCAGCATTTCGGCAAGGAGTTCCGTTCTGTTCTTTCGTACAGTTCCAACCATTGTTAGCTTTCTCTTCAGGAGCCCCTGACCCAGGTTGTAGGACGTGAAGAAATGGTGACATGTTATGTTGTGACCCCTGAGACCCTGTGCCATGTCGAGCACAACCCTCATGCCCTGATTCCTCTTTGGGGCTCCTCCAACTGGCTTTCCAGTGTAAACCTGCATGTTTAGTACATAGCTGGAGTTTGCATCACATACTGCCCATATTTTCAAGCCATATTTTGCCGGTTTCGAAGGCATGTATTGCTTGAACGGGCAACGACCTCTGAATGCCACCAGCCTTTCATCCACTGTGACATTAGGTCCTGGGTTGTAGAAAAGTGGAAGCCGCTCTACCCACTTGTCCCACACTGTCCTTATAGCTGCCAGCTTGTCTCTCTCATGTCTGCCAGCTCTTGTGTCACGATTATCAAATCGGATCACTCTTGAGAAAATGTGGAAAGTCCCCAGAGACATTGTGGCTCGAAATATATTCCTGCCTGTGTCTGCGTCCCACAGGCTGTCTGTCGATTCATCCTTGGATTTGTAGACCCCAGCCAGGATGAGGAGACCCAAATACACATGTAAATGCATTTTGTCCAGCTCCTTCCACTCTTCCCCATACACACGTCTCCCTTCCAGATTGGTCATATCCAGAACGATCTTCAGCACTGTGTTTGAAATTACCAGCTCAAAAGCAGACTTGTTGTCTGTGACACGAGAGACTGCCATCCTGGTGGGCCCTGGCACTGCCTTCATTATGTTTGCTGCTGATAGTGTTGCCTGGCGTCCATTAGGGGATGAGGACCACTGAATTTCACAATTTTTGGACATGAATGTCTCATCTGGGCGAATATCAGTTTCCTCATCAGAATCTACATCGTTGACCTCAAGGTAGTCTTCATCCTCAGAAACGTTTATGTAGACGGCCCAGGTGTGGCTCATCGGGTTGATCATCTGAAACACAAACAAGAGCCAGCCAGCAGAACACAAAGACAGAGACCTCTAGTGGAGTGGAGGGGGTCGTAACACCCCCCCCCCCCCCCCTTAAAAAAGGGGTTCCCCCTAGGAACACCGTCCAAACGTAGCAACCAACACAGAATAATATTTAAATGCAAAGTTCAAAATGACATATACATGTTCCATACTGACCGGATTGAATTTCATACCGTTGTTCACCCAGTCTCCATTTTCCAACCCAGCAACTCTAGTGCCTGAAAAAGACTTTTAAGAGATGCAACCCCGCAACATCAGTGCCTAAGGAAGCTTTTTAAGAGTTTAAAGGAAAGATGGAGAACAGAGAGAACACACACTGAAGAGAAGAGTGATGGATGATGGGCCATGCATAGAAGAGCATTAACAGGAGGTCCAAAAACAGATAAATATTCACCAGTGCCCGACAAATTACCTGCAGCTAGACAAAGCTTGCTAAAGCTTTGCCTTCAACAAGATTCCAGCTATCACAAACTAGAATCAACATAAGCGTCAAACCAAAGGTTCCTCTGAAACAAACGGCTCACTAGCCAACCAAGCCTTCCTCAGAAGCACAGCACAAAGAGGCAACCAAACTACGCAAAGCTTATGTTCCCGAAGCTTACAGGTCTAACTAACCACTTGCAGACACTTCCAACAAATTACCATTTTGCACTTCCCTCCTGCCTCTACTTACTTCCACATAAGCCACTGTAGCATCCTGCACTAAGATATCACCAAAACCCAGACTCGTTTTAGAACTAATAAAGCCAAACGGTTTACCAGGATCAAACTACTAACAGGAGAACACCAACATTATTTAACCACGGCGAGACAGATAACAAACACTCATGTAAACATTGTAAACTCACTTAACACATTTGCAGCCAATCTCAAATAGCACATACACAGATAACAGCAGTCATGTCCCTCTATCTACCAAACAAAACAGAAACTACCTAAACTCCCCCATAGTCTTCAGGTGCTACTTATGGTGGGTATGTATGCACTGAAACCCACAAGCCCGGTAAAGCAACCAGCAATTGGCAACTCCACCCGCAGCTTTGGACGTGCTCCTGAGCTAATCCGTTCTGAAGCCTACAGGGACAGAAGTGAGAGACACTCACAGGACCACCAAAAATCGGCTACAAAAATCACCACTATAACGAGCTTAGCGACGAAAAACAAAAACACCACCCACATGCATTTCATTACAACTGCTTACATTATCCAACAAAAACAAACATCTACTCGCCACACTTGTTCTTGTCTCCCAACCAACCAGCATGCACACAACGAGGTGCACCTATCTACCAAGTTACAGCTGATCTGATTCCTGTAATCAGTCTCAGCCCTTCAATCCATTTACAAGCCGACAAAGATGGCTGCACTACAGAACTAGAAACAATGTCAAAACTCCCCGGACAAGACCCCATGTGTTACAGCCTGGCTCATAGGCTGCAACAAAGATGGGAGACTAGACAAGTTAAGTGTAACAAAAAGCATATTTATTTACAATACCACAAAAACCAAAGGTCTTCAAAGAAACCTAATAAATGTGGAAGTCAGTTATCAGTAATGGTTGCGTGTATGGGTGTGTGAAAATGTGCAGAAACAAAGACGCGGCCGTGTCCAACAGAAGAGTGAGAGGGCAGTATGGGTTGGTGTTGGCCTTCTATGTAGACGGCCCAGGTGTGGCTCATCAGGTTGATCACCTGAAACACAAACAAGAGCCAGCAAGCAGAACACAAAGACAGAGACCTCTAGTGGAGTGGAGGGGGTCGTAACCCTCCTCAGGACCAAGTTCCCGTGTCCTGCCTTTCGCCTGCTGATCACCCACTGCTCATTTAAGGCGCACTCACCTTTACAAGGGACCAGCTAGTCTTAGTGTCTTAATGCAAACGTTTTGTAAAGTGATGCTAGACCAACAACTCGCTGTTGGGTTGTGTGCTCTCTGCAGGAAGGTGTCTGTACTCAAAGATTGTTTATGAAATCAAATCAAGTTTTAATTATATAGCACATTTATAAACTATTTTTGGTCGAGCCAAAGTGCTGTAAATATAATAAAAATAGCCTACAGTAGAGACACTTTACAGCAAATACAACAGCACAGATTGTTCAGAATATCAGTTTGAGAAAAACGACACCCTCTGTCCTTAGACCCTCACATCGTACAAGGAAACATTTCCAGAGAAAACCCACAGTTTAAAGGGAGCATGGGAGAAACCTCAGGGAGAGCAACAGAGGAGGGATCCCTCTCCCAGGACGGACAGACGTGCAATAGATGCCGTGTGTAAATCGAAGAGATAATACATTTTACAGCATATACATTTGCAAGTTGCAAGTATGTGAACCCTTTGGAATTACCTGGATTTCTGCATAAGTTGGTCTTAAAATGTGTTCTGATCTTCATCTAAGTCACAACAATAGACACACACAGTCTGCCTAAACTAATATCACACAAACAATTATATGTTTTCATGTTTTTATTGAACACACCATGTAAACATTCACAGTGCAGGGTGGAAAAACGTGAACCCCTAGGACAGGGGTAGGCAAGTAAGTTTGGCCTTGGGCCAATTGTTTGCTGAGCCACAAGATGGCATAATCAAAGCCTAATTCAAGGAATTGATTTTGGTAAGAGCCCCTGTTCCCCGGTTCAGAAAAAATGCTGATATCGCTGATAACCGTCCCCATCAACACTCTGATGCGCAGTCAGATTGATTGGTTCAATAGGCGCCCAATCCAGAGCCTCTGGCTAGACCCGCCCAAAGGGAGGCTCGTCCTCTCTAGCCCCATTTCAGTCCCAAAGCCAGGGCTATTAAATGTATTTTAACAGACTTATCTTTTAAATTGAGGTGTAGTTATTGTTCTCTTCAAAGTTTATTTTTCTCTGAAATTTTAGGGAGGATGGTCCTCCCTTTCCTCAATGGACGAGCCTCCACTGAGTAAAGTATAGTTATTAACTAGGTAGCAGTGTTATTTAACATATTCTGATAAGTATTGTCAAGTTCTCTGGGTTTTTGGCATTTATTTGAGTGTTTGCCCACATTTGAGAGGCTTGAGGGGCAACAGATAATCCTTTTTCCTTTTCTTCATTTAAACTTTTCAAGGACACATTAGGATTCTTTCAGGTTGAAAACCTTAAAAAAATATCAAAGGACAAAATAAATCAATTACAGCATGTTTTGCTTTGCAATTTAATATATTATAACCTAAATTAATCAGTAACCAAGTATTTTACTCAAACTCAATGTATAGTTAAATAAGTACTTTAATTGACCTGGTTCCCCCCAACCACACATTTGCCATATGTGACCCGCTCTATCGAAATCAGTCGGAAGTCGCAACGGCTCATTTCAAAATAAACGTGGATTTGCGTAAAAAAACTAGTTTTTCGGGATTCAGGTGTTTTGTTTGATTTTAAATAAACAAAGTCTTGGCTTTCAGAATATGGAACT